CACCGACTCCTCAACCGTAAGTTAAAATCACGGTTTTCTTTTCAGAAAGGGGAAGAATGGAAAGGGGGTATGCCTCCTGTGGTTTTACCAAAAAATTCCAATGTTAATTAAAACCATATATTTAGTATGGATAGAGGTAACAAATGGAGGGTTTTTTTTGGGGGGAAACCACACTCCTCCGTGAATTCAGATTAGTGATGCTGTGTTACTGGCTCACTGTGGACATTCTGTTCTATTTGAAACAGCTGGGGCTGTGAGGAAGACTGCATTTCCTACAGAAACTCAATTAGGCTGGATGGAAAAGAGGCCATGAAACGCTTCTGTTGTCTACAGAGAGTCAGCGAGAGTGTGTTGGACTCGGCTTTGAGTTGAATTCTAAATATAAACTGAGATCAGGCTTTGTTCAATTAGCTTGGTCAGCTTAGTACACTGGTATATTATCATATTTTTATATTCCACCATGCTCTTACAATTGTGCACATTGGGCTGCTCAGATTCCCCACAGGTTTCTAGAAATGGAATCCTTTTGGTCCTGCTGGTGTCACAGGGGTAGACAGAAGGAGAGGGGCTTGAGGCCTGGGTGGGATGAGAATCCAACTTGCCCACTTCCTGCTCACACTTCTTTCTCTGCAATGGTGTGGTCATGTAAGATGTTGCATTTCTTTCTTACATGATAGCAATAATGTGAGGGAAGCCAGATGCCAGAATGGTCCTACCCTTCCAACAGTTAGTTGTCAACAGCAATACAGGAATCAACAAATTTGTTTACTAACAAATGTTAGTAAACAATCTCTTCCAAATTAAGACATGAAGAAAACACTTCTCTGCACCTTGTCATTACAAGCCTTTCTCTAAAGATTCAACAGCCTTGTCCTAAATCCCCAGTGAGACTGACTGGGACCACCTTTGTTGCATCCATAACTTTATCTGCACCATCACTGTTCATGTGAAGGATTCTATATTTATATTTATATATGTTTATAGGAAGGATTTAAATTGATACGGGTTGGTTCTTCCCTTGATGTGCCAATCTCTTGAGGCCCTACTACTGTGATTATATATATATATATATATATATATATATATATATATATATATATAAATTAATGTTCAATGAATACTGAATTCAGAAAAGTAACAAATGTAACTAAGCTTAATTAGAACAGAAGCTCCCCAAAGGCTCACTAATTTGAGTCATGTATGTCCAAAAATATTCTAGGCACATAGACAATACACAGCATACACAGAGGAATGATTTTCCAAAAGGCTTGAGAAATATTTGATTGACAAAGAAACCATTTTATAGCATGTAAGGGAAGAGGGACTAGAGTGCCGAGTTTTCCTTTTTCTAGTTAGGAACTGGCAGATTTTTTTTTTTTTCATAGAAGGTCAGTGGTAAATATTTTAGGATTTACAGGCCCTATAGTTTCCACTCTACAGTCAAAGCCTACAGTGAAGCACAAAGCAACCCCAGATAATGCATAACCACTGAGTGTGGTTGTATTCCAATAACGCTTCAGAACTGGCTTTGTCCTAGTTCGAGTTAATCAACTTGGGAAGGAAAGGGTTTATTTTTTTCTTACACCTCTTGGTAAAAGTCACTGATGGAAGTTTGGGGAGGAACTCAAGCAAGAAAGGAACCTGGACACAGGAGCCGATGTGGAGGCCAAGACGGAGTGCTGCTTGCTTGCTCAGCCTGCTTTCTTATATGCCCCAGGACTACCAGGCCAGGGGTAGCACCACCCACAGTGAGCTGGGCCTTCTCACACCAATCACTAATTAAGAAAATGCACCACAGGCATTGTCTTTGTTAGGGTTACTATTGCTGTGACGAAACACCATGACCAAGGCAAGTTGGGGGAGGACAGGGTTTGTTTGGCTTATGCTTCCATCTCACTCTTCACCAATGAAGAAATCAGGACAGGAACTCAGAGAGCAGGAACCTAGTGGCAGGAGCTGATGCAGAGGCCACGGAAGATTCCTGTCTATTGGCTTGCTCTTCATGGCTTGCTCAGCAGCTTTCTTAAAGAATCCAGGACCACTAGTCCAGGGAAGGCCCCACCCACAATGGGCTGGGCCCTCCGCCGTCAATCACTAATTAAGACAATGCCCTATAGGCTTTCCAACAGCCCAGTCATATGGAGATATTTTCTCAATTGAGGCTCCCTCCTCTGTGATGACCCTAGCTTGTGTCAAGTTGACATAAAACTAGGCAGAATAGGCATTTTCTCAATTAAGTTTCCCTCTTCTTAAGTGATTCTAACTTGTGTCAAGTTGACAAAAATCTAACTAGCACAGGCCTCTTCTCTCAGTCTCTTTAAATAATTTATTTGCAAAAATGACTATTGGTGTCCATAATTGGCAAGATAGTCTCACAAAATGTCAGACTACTGCATTATTTAGGATAGGCATCTGCTGAATTTGGTGAGGATCTATATATTCATCACAAGAATGGCTAAATACGTGAAAATGTTTACTGAGTATTAATTCAGGAGTATGGCCATTGTATAATAGAATTTGTGGGGCTCTGCTATACTTATACCATCTATTTCAAAAATTCTCAAGCTTATTTTTTCATATTTCCAAGTTTTTACCCATTTCACAAACAGGTCTGATTCATCTTCAGCTCTAAATCCAATTTTACATAAAAATTTGCAGTTACTTGCTGCACATGTTAAACATTCATGCCTTTGCCATATGCTATTATGAAAATTGCACTGATTGATAGCAGTTTGACACCACTAGACAGCACAGATTCACCTGATAGCAAATCACGTGGTATTGGGAAATAATGTTTTAAATGTTTAATATGCATCCAGACCTCTGTTAAACTGGTAATATGTAGTCATGTAGTTTTTGGAGAAAACTTTTACAACACATTAAAAATACAGTCCTATATTTTGTGACTGTGAGCCATATGAGGTCCAAACATAGTAAGTAATAGCATAGTGGTCAAGAACATAGAATATTGCACTTAGGTAGACTTAGGTTTAAATACTGACTCAACTGTCTAACCACTCTGTAACCTTAATTTCCTCAGTAATACAGGGAGACAAATAATATCAATCTGGCAGCTGATGTAAGGAGTAGGCATAACTTCACATAAAACATGCAATACCTGTAAAAGTCTGTTCTGACCCTCTCAATAATCAGTAATTATCACTAGCTCTTATTGTCTACATATTACAGTCTATTTTAGGAGAAATGAATGATTCAGAATGTATGGGACTATACAGGAATGTTGGAAGCAGATTTAAAAATTTTCATATAAGACAAAAAGTTACTACTGTAGCTAATAGTCCTAACTTTAAAAACTGGTAAAAAGGAATAGAATCATGAGAAATTCTCCTCACTTTGAAGGTATCAATAATGCAGTATAACTATGCTAAAAGGGTTTACAGAAATTAGTACTATCTCTCTTACCCACTGTGTATTCTATCAAATTATATTAGGAGGGAGGAGGCTCCTTAGAAATAATTATACTTGGCTGCAGTAAGTGATTACATACTGTATAACAAATATTCATTAGTATGTGTGAAAAATGGACACTTTTTTGATTTTGCTTTTTTTTGTAATTGTAAGTACACATCTGAACATAGATGGATTCTCTGTGGGGCAACATTCTTCATGTGTGTGTTTTTGTGTTGGGGGTGGTAATTTTGCCTTGCAGGGATTATCTGGCAATACCTGAAGATCTTTTTGGATGTCACAATTTGGGTAGCCGTGCTACTGGCACCAAGGGGGATGCTAAACTGAGTAGATGTTAGGGATGTTGCCAGCCATCCTATAATGCATAATATAGCCTCTGCAACAAAAATTACCTGGCCAGAATGTCACGATGTTTTAGTCAAGATCCTTGGTTTTGAACTAAGATCCTTCAGGCCTGTAGTGTTTTGAAAGAAAATGGCCCCCAAAGTGAATGGCACTATTAGGAGGCATGGCTTTGTTGGAGTAGATGTGGCCTTGTTGGAAGAAGTGTGTTACTGTGGGGGTTGGCTTTGAGGTCTCCTAGACTTAAGCTACTCCCAGTGAGACAGGCTACCTCCTGTTGCCTGAAGATCAAGATGTAGCAGCGACCTCTCCAGCATCATATCTGTCTGCACGCCAGCACTATGTCTCGCCATGATGGGAATGGACTGTACCTCTAAACTGTAAGCGAGCCACCACAATTCAATGCTTTCTTTCTAAGAGTTGCCATGGAGTCTCTTCACAGCAATAGAAACCCTAATTAAGACAAGGGACAAGTGGGTTCATCTGTCTGCCCTCAATGGATACTGGGGCAGGATTAGGGAATGGTACTACTTTTGTCAATATGATGACATGATCTCATGCATCTATGTGCTGGTTACACATTTACATATCAGAAGTCCTAGCCTAGAATTTGCCTACCTAAGAGAATAACTATAAATACCAAGGCTGCAGGTTAAATAGCACAGGATGCTGGACCTCAAGTGGACCTCAGTGCTGAGATCAACTTGTCTTTTTTTTTTTTTTTTTTTTTTTCCTGAGACAGGGTTTCTCTGCGTAGCTTTGTGCCTTTCCTGGAACTCGTTTTGAAGACCAGGCTGGCCTCGAACTCATAGAGATTTGCCTGCCTCTGCCTCCTGAGTGCTGGGATTAAAGGCGTGCGCCATCACCGTCCGGCCAAGTAGACTATCAGCCTCCTTGTCGGGGAATCGAACCCCGGTCTCCCGTGTGACAGGCGGGGATACTCACCACTATACTAACAAGGAAGACGAGAGCAGCTTGTCTTACACATGGAGGAGAGAAATAATTTACAGTATCTTTGACCAAGCAAGTGACCAGGGTTTCCCTGGCTCAGGATTTCTTAAGTGGCATCAATTTCCATAGACAGACAACATGCTATAGTAACAATGGAATCAAGTGCAATACTTTCTTTCCCAAGTACCCTGACATACTGTCACAGCTGCTTACAAGGTTACAGACTTAAAGATGATTAAAGACCCAAGACTTCAAAAACTATACATAAAGAACATTACTTTAAAGCTCTTGATTCTGTATTTGGTGTCATCTCGGCGCTGTTGAAGAGAATCTCTGTGAATTCTGTATTTAGAGTATCTGCCATCAGTTTTCTCAGATAAACTGGAGGAATCCTGGAAAAGCAAGAAAGGGTTCAAAATTGGTGAATGAAAGAAAACTCAGTGCTAGAAATTAGAGTAAGGAAGTAGTGACATATGGAAAAGTAACTGTAGTCAGCATTTAGAGAGATACATACGAGAAACATAGGCAACCAAGGGAAAAGAAGAACATGGCCACACTGTACTTGGCCACAGGGTAAGATGGGTGTGATATACTCTGAGACAACTGACCCTCCCTTTCCAGCTGCTAACAACTACCAATTGCTCCACAGCTGGGGAAGGGGCTGTGTGCCAATGGATCACATACATTTTTAATTTAGTGTTTCATTATTCTTCACAATCATACAAACTCAGAGAACAAATAAATTAAGAAAGCAACATGTTCAGGACCTTTCTTCTATTTTTTTTCCTTCTCTTCATTTTCAGTAGAAAGAAGGAACATGCTAATTAGCTATGCTAGTCAATTATTAAGACATTTAATATTTGGGGACAATTTAGAAGAAAATGAGGTAAATGATTTTGGTGTGTACAATCATCTATGGTAGAGAATCTGAAACACTCCCAGAGAATCTTCGTCTTATTAGTGGTTTAAGTGAGGAAGGGGAATTGGAATTCCAGTTCCAGCCTTTTCATTTTCATGAGGAAAGCAAAGGAAAGAAAAGAAAGCTGCCCAGAAAATTATAAATTCTTTGGCCAGAGATAGGTAATTTGTGGCAGATTTGGATTGGAACTCAGTATCAACCCTTCCCACCTTATCAAATAAGCAATGTTTAAATACAGATGACAGAGCTGAAGCATTTTTTTCTTCAAAAATGGGGTTAAAAGAAGATGAAGGAGACAAGAAGGGAGGATATAGCCACATTCAAGAAAGAATAAAGTCAAGTGTATCAAAATAGGATAGAGTTTCTATGCAGTCATAACTATGAGACTATCAGAAAATACATTTGTAAAGTACATTTTTGCATAGATATTAGTGGTGGTACCATGAGTAGGACCCACACAGCTGACAGTATTTATGTCCTTCAATTTATATTAAGAAAGTATTCCCTGAGACATTAAACCATCTGGGGCATGAACTTGAACTTAGATAAACATTTAGGTCTTTGAATTCTTGTTTAAATCATACTGATTTATAGACAGTTATAGTGTCTGTGTGTACATGTGTAAATATAATCCATACTTAATAACATGAAGGATTTCTATATTTTCACTTAAGGCTGTATTTAATTATTCCATGAAAGTGATTTAAATGAGCTATTTTTAATTGTATGGATGGCTTTGTAGTACACATAAACATATGGGATGGGTTTCAGGATGGAGGCAATAGTGAAAAGAAGAGACAAATTAGATCTCACTCCCAGTTAATTTACATACTTTAAGCTTCAATTTCCTCAAATATAAAATAGGAAAAATATCTCTGAATATAAAGTAATGTAATGGATTTAGCTACTGTTTGCTACATAGTGCAATAAAAATTATAAAAAATATTTGCTACATGTGATACAAAAATAGCTAGCAAGTATGTCCCTTTTTAGAATACAGGGTTCACTTTTAATGAATTGGAAAATACAACTCTGAACTTGAAAACACGTTCTCCCAGAAAACTTCAATATAAATATATCCTCATATTGGAGTCGATGCATATGCAAACCAGGCTTACAGACAATCAGCAGACTTTGAGTAACAATAATCGATGCTCTGATAAGAAAACATGGCTTCTGGAGTGCACTCATAAGCATTCTGTTCACTGAGAGCACTGGGGGACAAGTGAGCTGTGACTGCAAGTCTAGCGTCACGGGCTTATCCTGGTCTACAGTGGGCGTCTGTTTCTCACCCATCCTTCATTTATCTAGGTGACACCAGTACGGAGAGAAAAGGAGGAGGAGGAGGAGGAGGAGGAAGAAATAATAATAATAATAATAATAATAATAATAATAATAATAATAATAATAATAATAATTGTGCTGGACATTCTCCACACAGGGTTGTATGAGGGTGAAGGGAAACTATACAGTTCTGTATGCTGATGTCCTAACTGTATGATGGGGATTTAAACTGTAAATACACATTCACATTGTGAGAAAGAACCAACACTTTAGTAAAGGATACAAGGAACACTTGTTTTATCAGTAACTATCTAGTTTCAAAATGTGTCAGCCGACTCTTGGATCACACTAAAAATGGTTCAGTTGTGGAATCATCAAAAATACTCACTATATTTTGAGATCTGCATGATATCATCAATTTCAACACAACCATGCTATTGCTTGCTGACATTTTCTACTCAAACGTATCATCAAACAATATGCTATATTTAAAGAGAGCCTAAATATTATGTAACTCATATTTTTAGTAATTTTTAACGCCAATTTGAAACAAGAGGCTACATGTTCACAACGTAAACCTGTATCACTTTTAGTTTTAATTTCTTATTTGTAACTAGTGGGTTGATACTGTAATAAGCTATAAGTTGCTAAGGCTATACTTTACATTTGCATCCCCTAAAGGGACATGTGAAGAAATAAACTCTAAACTATCATGAACTTGATTTCACATGCCACAAGAGAGGAATAACTATGAAATACGATGTTTCTAAAATAGGAAGTGTCTCATCTTCCTGTTGTCACTGGTACATTTCACCCCCTTTAATTCTTAGGTTTTCTAAATTATTTATGTATTATGTTACATCTTTAGAAGGAAAAAGTACATTTCTAATAGTAAGATAAAGTTTCCATTTTCCTATGCTATATTAATATAAAAGTTTGGTTATTTTAAGTCCTGACTTCACAGATGTCCGTGAACTCTGCTCAGATGGCATTGTAAAAAGTCCCCAGTGTTCTTCAGAAATTCCTCCCTTCCTACAAGCTTCCTTGCACATCAGGAAGATGTCAAGTGTTCTAACTCAGACAAAAATAATGAAAGAGACAAGGCAACTCTTCCTCACTCTGAAGTCTTTGAAATCCTCTAGCAGGCTCAGTTTCTCAGGCACAGACTCCAGATGGTCTAAGGCCACTCGGGTACTCTAGGAAAACAACAAAACAAAGCATAAGGGGACTCAATCAAAAATTAATATTCTCAGAATCAAAATACTGAAAACAAGGCACACCACCAGCAGATTAAACTATAAATTTATAGCCAAATAAGAACAAATATTTTCCATACATCTTTTAAATCGGGGGAATTATTTCTTTTCACAAAGTATATGAGATGCATTTGCAAAGCAGACTCCTTGAAAAGGCTTCCTAGATAATTGCGTTCAATTGACACGCTATGAAATTTTCTATAGAGCATTTCATATTTGCATTAATTTACAAAAATTGCTTCAGTGAACACCAGAAATTAACCACAGGTGATGGTAAGAAAAAGATGAGTTTGCAGTTACATTTCTATGGAACACATTCGACACTCTCAAATATTGTCATTACAAAGAAAAGAGTTCTCAACAATTACTTTTGGGAAAAAAGAAAATGCAAAGTGGTTCTCAGAAGACAATCTTGAGCCAATGATGGTATATATACTGGTAACGAGCATTAGCATTTGAATTTGAAAATAATTTTCATTAAACAAAGCAAAAACACAGACAGGTGATGTAAGATTCAGGGCATAAATCTTCGAGCTGCAGATGAGTTAGTGGCCACCATGTTCCACTGAGATGTCTGACACCTTTCATGAACTATGGGCTGGGAAAGTCATTGGACTTAGCAGTGAGATTCCTGGGCTCTCATTGCCTCACCCCCATCCCTGCCCAGAGCACTGCAGGAGCAATATGCTCCAGAGGATCTGCTCTGAGACAGAGGAAAACTGCCCACCATGTTGGATTTCATGTAAGTGAAACAACTTTAACCTTGTTAAGCTGTAGATTTTAGGGTTTGGTATCTACCAACATACAGCTCAACAGTAATTAGTTCCGGTGATGTTTGTGCTGAGGATTAAGTAATTAAAGTGGACAAGTCATGTGGTTATCTGGCTTTTTATTGGGTGGACAGGTTCTGATTTATGGGCATGGCAGAAGTTTTTCTTTGAGAAGAGTTCATCACTTTTTACTCAATCTCTCCACTTGATCCCCACTCCATTCCAGAGGTTGTGTGCTCTCCCTGGCGTCTCGTACCAGGGCCTCACCAAGGCAGTTTTTCCAGAGCATCTACTTTATATCTCCCACAGGCTGTGGGCACTGCAATGGATGGAAATATGAAAGTAATGGGATATCTTTGTTCAGCATACTTTCAATTCACCCCTTCCCACCTCCCCCCATCATCAGTAATGGTACTAATGAGTGCAATCAAAAGTCGAGCTGGAATTCTGCAGAGCGAATGATGCTTGCTTTCCATTGCTATTCCCTTGACAGGCACATGGGTTTCGCCTTTTCTGTTCTGAGTTCTATATGACTTCTTCAGTGTTTTGTAACTTGAGAGTCACAGCTGTTTTCTGGTTTTGTCATATATAATAGTTTTGTCATATATAATAATAGATTTGTCATATATAAATCAGTGCTCCTATTCTTCATAAGCTTTTAGAAATTGGTGATGCAACTTCTACCATTTTGAACAGGAACTTGTTTTGTGCTGGTCCAAGTTAGTCAAGTGTTCTTTCCCAGAGTCTATTTAAAAGATTTAGTATTTTGTTCCTTCTACTTAACATTTATATTATTGTTAGTTTTTCTGCTTCATGTACTTAAGCTGCCATACACTTCAAATGGCTTCACTTAATTTTTCCACAGGTTGGAAAGAATCATCAAAATGACATTTTTCTTAATATAGGACACAACATGTAGGTTTCAGATAACGGAGGGTTTTTTTTTTTTGTCACTTTGTAGGCTATATTTACTTAAGTAATAAAATTAGAGATATTTAAGAACTATATTAGCTCATGAAACTAAAACACAAAGCAAAGCTCTGATGACTATTTGAAGACAAAATTATGAGTTGAATAAAACTCTTTTCATAAGCAGATTCTAATAGATTTTCAGCACTAAATTTTATTTCCTTTTTTTCTCATTTGAAAGTGATCCTGTGAACCTGAAGATTTTTAAACTCACTTCTTTCTCAAAATAAGCAAATAACCTCTATAAAATCTGAGTAATTTTCAACCAACCAGGTGACTTTGTGACCCTTCTCTATTTTGTTTTTGCATGCTCACATACCAGTTTATTTTGACTGTGATAATTTGGGTATATATTCAAATGGCTGCATTATTGTGGCATCCATAAAAAGTCTTTGCCTCATTATTAAGCACAATTATTTGTATAGTACTCCCTTTACCTCACCTATGTCTCCATGAACTCTCTTCATATTTTCTCATAATTTATTTCAGTTGGTATGTGTGTGTGTGTGTGTGTGTGTGTGTGTGTGTGTGTGTGTGTGTGTGTGTGTGTGTTGGGCATATTAATGTTGCCTAATACTTTAAAGGGTGTGGAGAAGTCTCAATTAACAAACTATAGTCCAATTTTTCAAGTATATTTCAGTATATGGTAGCAGCAAATAATATGATTAATTTAATTCTTTAAAACATATCAGATATTTACAGAAAGGTGTAAAAATGGTTCTCCTTGGGCAAGGCAGCACATGCTTGTAAGCTCATCAACTGGGAAGTGGAGGCAAAGGAACTTCCAGTTCCAGGTCATGCTGGAACACCAAGTGAGTCCGTAAAGAAAGAAAGAAGGCTCACTTTTGAAAAGCAATATAATAGTTACCATAGCATGTTTTAAACAGCAGAGAATGCACAATGACAAGTTAGTTAAACTCTCTCTCTCTCTCTCTCTCTCTCTCTCTCTCTATATATATATATATATATATATATATATATATATATATATATATATATATATCATATATAGTTCTGGTTCCCTGCAGGGAGCTATACTCACATAGCCTAGAGGCAGTGGTTAATTCCAACCCTGTTTAGAAGCATAATGAAAGATCAAATAAAAAAAGTAATTTGCCTGTAAATTCAATCATGAGTTACCTTTTAATCTGCTCTGTACTCCTCACACCACCATATGCACTGTAGACATATTACTATATTATTATATTACATATTAAAATATTATATGGATGAGGACATGAAGAACCAGAGCGTATAAGCAACAAACAGACAATCACATAGTAGCAAAAGCGGGATGCAAATTCTAGTAACCTGAATGCAAAAATGGCAATGTTCTCACTACAACCACCACCACCACCCTCCACATTTATAGAATACTAAGCTAACAAGGCATGGAAAGCATCCAGAAGCTGTAATGCGGCTGCTTTTATTTCCAACCCCTTTCCAGCCATGCTCTGAAGATATGTTCTTGATGGAACTATTTTTGTTCGTGGTGTTTTAAGAGGAAATCATGAAGAATTTCATCTTTTATGCTCAGGACCATGTGTATCTAAATATATATATATATATATATACATACATATGCACAGCAGTCAGAAAGATACACACACACACACACACACACACACACACACACACATACACACACACAAAGGAGTCTGGATATCATAGTGTGTGGGACTAGAGCATAGACATCTGCTCACAAGACTTTCCTCAAATAAACATTGACTGAACAAAAGCAAATGCGGTCATCATTCTCTAGACAGTCTAATGAACCCATGGATCGTTATTAAATGCCCAGACAAAAGTCTGTTGTTTAATTTTATTTTCTCCTAAGAGTATAAGCAAGTGATAGAAGAAACTGGAGTTTAGAAACCTTGTCTGCGAGCCCCTGTGGCTTGCCCACTTACAGATGTGTTCACATGTCTGTCAACAAAGGCAAAGCACAAGCTGCCAACTTTACCCTTCCCAAATTTCAACGCACATCAGCCTCCTATGGAGCCGAGCAGTTTGAGCTGGCCTACAGAACTGTTCCCTTAGATCTTCCTTTGTTTCAGACCAGAAGGAAATTGAATAATATCATATGACAGCATAAGTAGCATCAATTAGGAATTAGACAGAGGAATGCATTACAAATCTTAGATCCTGTCTCCTGTGGAGAAAACTTACGGAACAAATTTGACCATAGGCTGTACATACTTCCCTTTGTAAAAATGCACATCTGTTTCATTTTATTAATATATAACAAATATAATTTTCTCACACTGGTATTGAAATTGTATGTGTAGATGATAAAGAAGAATTTGTCTATGTTTTTAAGACTGGCACAACATACATGTTAAATAAACAAGGTTATGAAGCAATTTATTTGGGTTCAAAAATGTAATTCTATTTCATTTGGAAAGAGATCTACTGCAAAACTTTCCTGACAAATGGCTGAACGGTGGTGAAAAGACCTGAGTAAACACAGTTCAAGGACAGGAAGGGTGAGCTCACATAAAGGACGAACTGTACGCCTTTCCCTGATGCTGACTCCATCCAGCACAGCTGTATTGGCATTAAAGGGCCCTCTTTTTATCCAAAGTGTCTAACACCCTCTGGAACCAACCCGAACAGTAGCAGCGAACAGGCCTGCAAAGCCTGGTGCTGCTGATGACATCCTTCATGAGGCCCAGACAAGAAAGCTGTGTGGGTTCCTCCAAACATGAACAAAATCCTTCATTTATACACTGAGAGCAGGCCTGCAAAGCCTAGTGCTGCTGATGACATCCTTCATGAGGCCCAGACAAGAAAGCTGTGTGGGTTCCTCCAAATGCCAAATGTCTCTGTATTACATCTGCCACTATAAACCAGGCCAAGAACTTGTGGCTGGGGACACCCTAGGCCCTAAGAAGAATCTACAACTGTTACTTTGTTAATTGGACATAGCACCAACCTGCCCTCTAGACACTTGTCCTTAGACCCTCAGATTAGTACAGCTCACATCCCTCATTGGGGAAGCTTCTTTTTGCAGTGAATTGAGGTTAATACAGAGACCTACAACTGGTCAGAGAAAGCTGGACAGTGCTTAAATCTAAAAGGAGCATCTGTATAACTCCCTCTGCCCAAGGTGCAGAGAATGTTGCAGAGGAGGGACATGGACAGATTCTAACAGTTAAAGGATGGAGTGGAGTGCTGTGAGATAGTGTCTCTGGATACAAC